TGGGGGCCCCGTGCAGGCTATCACTGCTGGTACGGAAGGGGTGCTCTGGACACCTCCATATCCCAGCACATCGCTGGAGCCCTCGGCCCCACGTTAAATGTGTCATTACCCATCATTTTGGAAGTAGCGCATGGGTTTAATGAGGCAATTCAAACAACAGGGAGCACGAGGAGCAGGCGACCCTGCGCCTCAGCCCCTGGCCTGCAGAGGGTTTTGTCCTCTCTTCCCGACAGCTCCAGCCTGTGTGGTCTTCCCGCCCTTTTGCTGTCTCCCAGAGCGGGGTGTGTACTTCTGCTGCTCCACGTCCTGCTTCTCCACAGAACAGATGATGGTCTTGGGGATCTTTCCACGGTGGCACACCTGGCTGGCAGCAGGGTCTAATTCCTTCTGTGATTTTTGTTAAAATAATTTTTAAAAATGTTTTATTAAGACAATACATCTTCATAGAAAATCCCAGAAGAGAGAGTGTGGGTATCCCCTGTGGACTGGGGATGCGGACCCTCCTCCCAGCCCGGCCTGGGTCTGTGGCTGTGTCTCCTCTGTGACAAGGCCCAGAGACAGGGCACAGTCTCAGGGGCAGCCACCCTCCCGTCGCAGTCTTTACCCCACACCCAGAAAGATGTCAAGGACAGAGCCACACTGCGCTGAGGGCCGGGTCCCAGAAGGAAACGCTGAATGCCGCAGCCGCCCTGCCCTGCTGCTTGGTGGGAAAGTTGCCAGGACTGTGGCCCCAGGGTTGAGTTGAAGGCGACTCTGCTTTTCCACACTTGAGGATCTCCTGTGTCGTCCCCAGCACTGCGGGCTCCGTGGTCAACTCCTGTGTCCCGCCCTTTCCTCCCAGCTGCGGATCCCTGCAGGAACACTGGCGGGGAGTGGGGCAGAGCCACAGCTACTGCCAGAACCATCCTCGTCCCCTCAGCCTGGGGCAGTGGTGGGTGCACAGAAGTCCCCGGGGAAGCGTTTTTGCTCAGAACAGTTAAAGCCGGGGCCGCTCTCCCTGGGACCAAGACGGCGACCCGAAGCCGGCTTGACCCATGTCCTTTCTGCTCCTTCCCATGCGGACCTTCACAGCACCCTCTCCACCTGCTTGCCCTCTTGGTGGGGTTTTGGGGCTGGGAGGAACCTGAACTGCCCTGTGGGCTTCAGGGCAGCGTTGGTGTCCGACGTGAGGGCCGAAACGTCCCCTGGCCCAGTCACCCGCACGCGGCCCGTCCTGTTGCCTGGGTCTCTGCTTCCTCTTCCGTCCAGTCCACCTCCTTCCCTGCCTTCGTCTCTCCTCGGGGTGTTTCCTGTCACCTGATGTTACAGCATTTTCTTGTTTATTTTCTGTGTCCAGCTAGAAGGTCAGCCTCAGAGGGCAGAACCCTTTTATCTCATTCAGTCCTTCTCGCTTTTTGACTTACGTGGAGGCAGATCTCCAAGCTTGTTAAAACCGTGTCGAGCACGAAGGGTGCTGACGGCTTCTGCTGTGCATGGGGTGGTTGTTGCCCCCTGCAATCCCTTGTCTCCTTCATCCTCAGTGGGTCCCTGCTGAGGTTCCCAGATGAGCTGCTCTGCATGCTGAGTCAATGTGTCCCTGTTCTCCAGTGTCCAGAACACTCCATGGGGATTCTTTTCATCCATGGCATCTGGGGGGCACGGCCCGCCACACGCAGGCAGGCTTGCTGGGGGCTCCCTGAGCGCTGGCTCGGCTCAGACCCCGAGCAGCCCTCCCCAACGCAGGCCAGGCCCACCCAGGCCTAACTGTAAAATAGTGCTTGTAGGAAATCTGCAATATACAGAAAAGCATGAGAGGACATTACACGTAATCCCAGCACCAGCGACGGCTGACCCTGGCCGTCACTTTGGCGCCGTCTCTTCTCACAACATGACGTTCCTGCACCGAGAACGTGTGGGAGTTTCAAGTCGTGAGAGGTTTCTTGCTCTTTGACCAAGTTGAATATACGTGTTCCCACAAGTGGTTTGCACGTTCTTACTAAACCGACTAACGCTTCTAGCAATTTCTTAGCAGCTTTCCCTTCTTGGGCTTCAAAGGCTGAGAGACTCCGGGGTAACCACTCGGCCAGGCCCATAAGCGGCTCCTATTTCAGACAAAGACACGGTGTCAGCGATAACACTGGAGCAATTCCTCCCGACACCCGACCCGCCCACCTCGCCTTTGCCATCGATCCTCTGTGATGATCCTTCGAGAGAGAGTGCCGCCCACACCGGGCTCCCTGCACAGGCGAGGGGTGGGCGCCCGAGGGTGGTGCCTTCGGGAATGCAGGAAGCCTGGAAGTTCTGATCTGACTTTTTCCCTCTCAGGCATCTCGTTCACTCCCTCCCACCCCTTGAGCGGTGCTCCCTGGTTGCGTGTCCTAGATTTTTCTCACCAGCGATTGTACTTCTTGCTCCATCCTAGGGAAGAGAGGGCCAACAGGTGGGGGACCATGGTCCTTGAGAACATTCAGGCCAGTGGTTGAGCTTCACTTGACTCTCTCACTCTTGGGGGAGCCTGTATGGTCTCGAGGTCACCTGTAGGGTGTCGAGTTCACCTGTATTGTCTTGAATTCACCTGTAGGGTCTTGAGTTCACCTGTACAGTTCTTGAGTTCACCTGTAGGGTCTCGAGTTCACGTGTAGGGTCTTAAGTTCATCTGTACGGTCTTGAATTCACCTGTACAGTCTCAAGTTCAGCTCTAGGCACCTGTACGGTCTCAAGTTCATCTGTGGGGTCTTGAGTTCATCTGTACAATCTTGAGTTCACCTGTATAGTCTCAAGTTCACCTATATGGTCTCGAGTTCACCTGTAGGATCTCGAGTTCACCTGTAGGGTCTCAAGTTCATCTGTAGGGTCTTGAGTTCACCTGTACGATCTTGAGTTCACCTGTACGGTCTTGAGTTCACCTGTATGGTCTTAAGTTCACCTGTATGGTCTCGAGTTCACCTGTACTGTCTCAAGTTCATCTGTAGGGTCTTGAGTTCACCTGTGAGGTCTTGAGTTCACCTGTATGGTCTCGAGTTCATCTGTAGGGTCTTGAGTTCATCTGTACGATCTTGAGTTCACCTGTATGGTCTCCAGTTCACCTGTATGGTCTTGAGTTCCCCTGTAGCATCTCGAGTTCATCTATAGGGTCTCAAGTTCATCTGTAGGGTCTTGAGTTCACCTGTATGGTCTCGAGTTCCCCTGTAGGATCTCGAGTTCATCTATAGGGTCTCAAGTTCATCTGTAGAGTCTTGAGTTCATCTGTACGATCTTGAGTTCACCTGTACGGTCTTGAGTTCACCTGTATGGTTCTTGAGTTCACCTGTAGGGTCTCGAGTACATCTGTACGGTCTTGAGTTCATCTGTACGGTCTCAAGTTCACCTCTATGGTCTTGTTCACCTGTAGGATCTCAAGTTCACCTGTATGGTCTTGAGATCATCTGTACGGTCTCGAGTTCACCTGTATGGTCTCGGGTTCACCTGTAGGGTCTCGGGTTCACCTGCAGGGTCTGGAGTTCACCTGTAGGGTCTTGAGTTCACCTGTATGGTCTTGAGTTCACCTGTAGGGTCTCGAGTTCACCTGTATGGTCTTGAGTTCACCTGTAGGGTCTTGAGTTCACCTGTGCAGTTCTTCAGTTCATCTGTACAGTCTCGAGTTCACCTCTATGGTCTTGAGTTCACCTGTAGGGTCTCGATTTCACCTGTATTGCCTTGAGTTCACCTGTACAGTTCTTGAACTCACCTGTATGGTCTCGAGTTCACCTGTATTGTCTTGAATTCACCTGTATGGTCTTGAGTTCACCTGTACAGTTCTTGAGTTCACCTGTAGGGTCTCGAGTTCACCTGTAGGGTCTCTCATTCAGCTGGGCCACACTCAGGATCCTCCATGGTGCCAGCTTGCCATCTTCCTCTGGTCATAACTGGTGTTGAGGACTCGGGTTTGAGGGAGATTCTCAGTGACATGCAGAGTCGTGGACCAGCTTGCTGTTAATGGCGCTGACCATCCACCTGGATTTTGTGTTTGAGCTCTCATCTTGAGTCCTTCTCCTCTCACTGAATCCTGGTGTTGGTTCTTGGTGAGGCATAGACGAGCCCCCGGCCCACTGCTCCTCTGGGAAGCTGCTCCGAGGGACCCACTGCGGATCTTCGCCTGGGGTTGGGCATTTCTGGTCCTGCCTTGGCCACCAGCCGTGATGCGGGGAGAGGCGTCGGTGCTTAGCCCCGTGCTCCCAAAGCCTGCCGGAGGCAGCACGGGCCCCTGTCTTCTCAGCCCCATGGGGCCCAGGCCTGGTTTTGAGGATCGGGCGCCTCATGAAGGCAGAGACTCATTGACAGGTTCGAGCAGGCTTTGCTGAGCTCCCGACATGAAGCCCCCACCAGCCAGCGGCCTCCCCTCTCCACACGTTGTACCCCCTGCCTGGGCCTGGGGTGCAGCTGCGCTCAGCCCTCAGGGCTCCTGGGCAGACCCTCGCACACGTCCCCGGCGTCTCGCTCTCCCACCTGCACTAGGTCAGCAGGCTTAGCCCTGAGGGGGGGGCAGTGGCGTGAGCGATTCTGGATCCCCCTCCCCAAGGACGGCATCACCACAGACGCCGGAGGGGTGTCGTTCTGGGGAGTCCCAGAGCAGGTATGGTCCAGGGTGGAGGCTGTAGTGGGGGAGTGGTGGGGAAGGGGACTCCGAGCACCCCAGGTGGCTAGGCTGGGTGCTCCCCCTGCGGGCCTGCCATTGCTGAGGGCTTCGACTGTTTGGGGAGGTGTCTTGGACCCACCGACTCCATGGCCCGCAGGGTGCTGGCTGGGGCCAGTGCCATGTCCAGCAGCAGATGAGTGCTCACCATCCTGCAGTCACCACCTGGGCAGCGGCTCTGCTCCCTCATGCCCAGGGCTCGGCTCCTAGGGGTCCAAGGGGCCCTGCTGCATCCTGGGTGCCTGCAGTGAGATATGCAGCCAGCCTCCTGTCCCGTGAGCGGGCCAGTGGAAGGGCCTTGGGCAGCAGCCCTGATAAAGCAGGACGACCTCTTTCTTCTCTCCTTCCTCCTCCAGAAACATGGCCGACAGCAAGGCCAAGCCCGCCAAGGCTGCCAACAAGACACCCCCCAAGTCCCCAGGGGACCCCGCTAAGGACAAGGCAGCCAAGAGGCTGTCACTGGAGTCGGAAGGTGCCAACGAGGGGGCGGCCGCCGCGGCACCAGAGCTCAGCGCCCTGGAGGAGGCCTTCCGGCGGTTTGCCGTGCACGGGGACACCAGGGCCTCGGGGAAGGAGATGCACGGCAAGAACTGGTCAAAACTGTGCAAGGACTGCCAGGTGATTGACGGGAAGAGTGTGACCGTCACCGACGTGGACATCGTCTTCAGCAAAATCAAGTAAGTGCCACCTGGGGCTCGCTCACAGCAGAGCTGGCCGCCCTGAGGTCTGCGGTTGGCCAGGCCTTGTGTTCCAGATCCTCTGGTGGGTTTTGTGTTTCAGCAGCCGTGAGGAAGTGTGATAATAACGCTTGCAGAGACAGACGCCTGTGTCAGGGCAGGCTGGGGAGTCCTGGTCTGGGACACTGGCCCCTGGCCGACAGGAGCCTGGAGGGGCCAGCGGCCTGGGGGGCAGAACTGGCCCACGCAGGCTGGCTCCGAGGGGCTGAGTGCGAGGCAGGCAGTGGTGGCCCAGCCGGGAAGCCTGTCCCCGACCCTCTTCGGCCAGCCCCTCCTGAGCGGCTCCTCCAGCTTTTGGGAAGTGTTCCCATGTGAGGAGAATGCCTGCATCTCCACCCATGGACTCAGTGAGCTGTGTGCCTCATCTATGCGCGTGTGCACATGTGTGTGTGTGTGTACAAGCGCTCATGCACACGTCCTTTCTCCTGTTGTCGGGAAGCACGTCCAGGCATCATTTTGCAACCCCCACCCCCTGCCTCCCACTCCACCAGGCGTCTCTGAAGCATGAGGGTGCAGCTCAGATGCCCCAGCGCTCCCTGTGAGCAGCCTGGCTCCTCTGTCCATCAGACTCTGGCCCAGTGGCAGTGGACAGTTTCCTCTCTTTGCATCCCCAGAGGCTATGACTTCATGTCACCACTTTGCTCCGTGGAAATAGTGTCGGGGTGTCTCCGTCGTGGTGAGGTCTCCCCTACTCCCTGGGCTGACTGTTGCTGCCTGTCCCGACAGTGACCCGAGGCCAAAGGCGTCATTGTCTCCACCAGAGCCAGGAGGTTGCCTGGGGCGGCCTGGCTGGGGTGGGTGGAGGCAGCCTCCAAGAGCCAGCCGTCAGGACCAGTAACAGGGCACAGGAGACAGGCATCTGCCAGGTGGAGAGGACTTGGCCTTTCTGCTCGCATGGGAAGAGGTGGGACCCATCAGAATTTACTACAGTTGGACCAGAGCCCCAATTACACCACAGCTGCAGGATCTGGGTTCCTGGTGGGCTCTTCATTCCGCCTGAGCCCATCCCTTCTCAAGGCCCAGAGTTAGAGGAGGAGAAGATCGGGTGCAGGTGAGAAGATGGGGTGCAGGTGGAGGGAAGGTGGGGTGCAGGTGAGGAGGGAAGGTGGGTTGCAGGTGAAGAGAAAAGGTGGGGTGCAGGTGAGGAGGGAAGGTGGGGTGCAGGTGAGGAGGGAAGGTGGGGTGCAGGTGAAGAGAGGAGGTGGGATGCAGGTGAAGAGAGAAGGTGGGGTGCAGGTGAAGAGAGAAGGTGGGGTGCAGGTGAAGAGAGAAGGTGGGATGCAGGTAAAGAGAGAAGGTGGG